TCTTTTAGCTTTTTTGCCCTCTTACATAGTTGGCTCCATATCTTAAAATACTTGTTTAAATTTTAATTTGATTTTTTTAAGTCATATTGCCTTTATGATATTAACTTTTGTATGTCTCCATCTTCCTAACAAACATTTGATATGCCCACTATTTCAGAAACCAGGGTAGATGCACTACATGAATTTTCTCATTAATTCCACAAAAATCTAGTAAGATGTATGTATGTCGTGTGTGTGTGTGTAGAGACAGGTAATAACATTTTCATAGATGAGGAAACTAACGATATAAGAAAAAAGTGCTTTTAAGGAAACTTACTTGAATCACCAAAAGTTAAAGTGAATACCAAATAAGTTAAAAAAAATTTTTTTACAGCACTTTGTCAGTTGGTCAATAAACTGATTTGCTATACCCGAAAAAAAAAAATCCCCTAACACACCCTTTATGCACAGGGTCTTTTCCCTGTGTGTGTTGTTGTTTACAGAGCTCTTATGATGAGGAAGACTCTGCATTTACAAAGCTGGGCAAAACACATCCCTTCTCTTTAATAATTCACAATTCAGTAAGGAAGAGACTAATGCTTATAGCAATATATGAGTCTCACTGAAAAACTAAGTTAAAATTTGCTGTGACAGAGAAGGAATGATTAGCTGTGCTTGGGAGGCTCTTGGTAGCTTTCTAGAGGAAGTAGGTATTTCTATAATTTTGAAGGATAAATATTTCTTATCTCCCTAACACCAAAAACTCAGAATGGATATGGAATTAAAAGGATTATACATTCACACTATGAGGGTTGGGATTCATCACTACAATATTATCAAAATGCCCCAAATAATAATACATACCAAGTGGTAATATGATACAAGTAGTAGCAAAAGTGATAGGACTGGGATTTAATTCTAGGTTTTTCTGGTTTCAAAGTCCTGTGTTCTTTTGCTTCCCAATAGCTAGATTATGCTCTTTCTTTATTCTTAAAACCCTGTTTTCCAATCTATGATTATCCCTTATATTAAATTCATAGCCAATTTTTGGCTTCTTAATATTTAAGATACAGCTTAGATACAAGTATACTCAAAAAAAATCTATCTTACTAATTCAAATCTATAACGTATTAGTCCATAAGAACCTGTTCATATTTTAGTAAGCTGAAGTGTGAAGGAAGCATAAACAATGAAAAGAACATAAACTTTGAAGTCACATACACTTGGTTTCAAATTCTGTCCCCATCTTTTCTAGCTCTCTCAGATTGAATAAGTCACTTTACCTCTGAGTTGGCTTTGTCTTGCATAGAATGTGAATAACTAACGCCCATCTCACAAAGTGTGATGCATGAATGAAATAAAATACACAAAATGCCTAATACAGTAGGCGCTCAAAAATATGTAATATATTGCTACCAGATGAAGAGCTTTATAGTATTCAACATTAACATCAGAGAAGGCTATCCAGAGGAAACTTAAAAAGAGGCAGCGTATTAAAAAGATTTTAAAATTCTCTTTTAGGTAGGTGAGGAGGAAAGGGCATTCATCCACAAACACTGGCATTACCTGCAGTTTGTTATTTTACAAGTAATATGAAAAGGTTCTTCTAGGTTTACGGTATCTGGGATTGCCTCCAAAGACAACCTAACATCTCCATAACCTGGAGCCTAAGAAAACAAGCAACACAGTTAATATATATCTATTACAAATCTTTGAATTTTAATGAAGGTACAACACCAGCATATTCATGCAACAGTTGTTGGGTCCCCAAGCTGATGTTCTGAGAAAATACTTCTTATTCATTCTACTGTTACCTCATCCTAACTTATTTTGCTGCGACTACTTGTGGAACAGCCCTGCAGACTTGGACTGTTTTTGTTATAATTCCCACTTGTTTAGTAGAGTTAAGATGAGTCTCATAGTTAAGTAGTCAGTAAAGACATTTCAGGTGATCTGATATTGAAGGGATGCTTTCCAGAGATTCTGTAACTCTAAATAGGCAAGGTTACAGCCTAAAGAGACAGATGAAGATCACATTGAAATAAGCCAGGAAGAAAATCATGAAGACACATAGGTGAGGAGGGACTATAGAAACATCAACGCTTGGAACATGCCATGGCAAAAAGATAACTAATTGTTATATTTTAAAGTGGGCCCAGTAGGATCAGCATCTTTTTTTTTTCTTTTTAATTATTGCCTCAAACAGTGAAAGAAAAGTAAAATTTAGGCTATGTCAGAACAGGTAATATTCAGCATAAAAGGAGGATCCTGTAGCATATTCTAACAATAAGAAAAGGAAGGCTAGTAACTACCCCTACTCTCAGAGCAGAAATTAATTATCCAACCAGTGCTTATAAGGTAACTCTAGTGGAACTTACCTTCTGAATTTCAGATGCCTCAGATTTTTAATATCTTAAAAAAGGTATGAACTGAGTAGGTGAATGTTGTATGTCCAAGAGTTTCAAGGACATTGCAAAAAAGAAAACCTTAATGTATTTGGAAGTCAGATGACTAGTGAGCATGAGTTACCAAAGGAGGGAACAATTGATAGGCAGTTACTTTGCTTGGTAAAGTAAAAAACACATGTATTAAGGTAAATTATATTAATATTTGAACATTTTTCATTCATCCCAATACCAGTTTTCTACCTAGAGATTAGTGAAACTACTAGTCTTTTCTTCTCTAGTAATATTAATGCCGTTATAGTACTCTAGTATTTACTGATAGATGTAGGAAAATGTAAGTTTTCCTAACTGCCTTTCCCCCTCCACACCAAAACCTCCACTGAAGTTTTTTCCAGACTCACCATTCTTTGAAGTTGGCTGGTCTGTAACCTTCCCCTTTCACCTAGATTTGTTTTCCATACTATATCCAATTTTCCAATTACTGTTACTCCCTTAATGATGCCTGCTTTTTCTGCAAACTCCTTCTTAGGCTTTAGGCAGTATAAGTACTGGCGTGTATCCATTGGCTGCAAATATGCTCTCGACCCAAACGTTGATACACTGAGGGAGACAGAGAGAGACAGAGATGAAGAAAATTCTCTAGCATATTTTAAAAGAAAAATCATGCCTGTGCTTGTTCCTTTTGGACAAGAACTGGATGATTTACCCTCCAAAGATCTAGAAAAGTACAGGTCAGTGGTTTCAACACAAATTTAAAAAAATTATGAGAGGATTTATTTTTAATTTTTTTCAGTTGACCATGGAAAATCTTGAGGTTCTTTATAATAGAATGCAATATATTACCTAAAATATTAGATGTGTATCATATTATCTAAAATATTGGACATGTATCAACTGAAAAGTACAACAGAAATCAGAACCTTAAGTATCCTGTCCCTTTTCTCTATAATTATCAAATAGTTTAGAATAAGAAGAGAGATACCATTCTAAACTAAGTAATCATTTTCAAAATGAACTAAAAGATCTAAAAAAGAATGGAAAATTATTGTTTCCTCAGTGGAGGTGAAAGAGGCTATGAACTCTTCTGTATGTAACCACCATAATAATATAAAAGTAATTTTCTTTTTCTTTTTTTTTTTTTTTTTGAGACAGGGTCCTGCTCTGTTGCTCTAGGCTGGAGTGCAGTGTCAAGATCATAGCTCACTGCAGTCTCAAACTCCTGGGCTCAAGTGATGCTCCCACCTCAGCCTCCCGAGTAGCTGGGAGTACACACATGCACCACCATTTTCAATTTTTTTTCATTTTTTGTTGAGATGGGTCTTGCTATGCTGTCTAGGCTGGTCTTAAACTCCTGGCTTCAAGTGATCCTCCTGCCTTGGCCTCCTAAAGTCCTGGGATTACAGGTGTGAACCACCGTGCTGGGCCTAAATTTTTCATTCTTGATTAAGAAAATCAGGTACTTTCCCCAGCTATTGCCTTATCTATTTTATTGTTAAGCCTATATTTATTCTTCCTGTTCTAAACTAGCTACAGACATATGTATTTCCTTTTCACAAAAAATTAGGTCAAGTATTCCTATGTCCACTTCTTTTGATATTGAGAGACTATTTCTTTTTCAAACTCATGCTCACCCTTACCCTAACTTCTCCACATTCCTTCTCATGCCTCAGTTTTATCACTTTCAGAATAACAATGATAGGTTTTATATTTTCCTCACTGAATTATGAGACTTAAAGAACAAGTGCTTTGAATAGTAAAACATAAAATGCAAAGGGCTAGGATCTTTATTTTTATGTGGAGGGAGGGATGAATAGGTGAACATGGGAGATTTTTAGGAAAGTCAAACTATTTTATATAATATAGTAATGGTGGATACATGTCATTCATTACATATTTGTCAAAACCTGTAGAACATACAATATAAAATGTGAACCCTAATGTAAACTATGAACTTTAGTTAATAATCAGTATCAGTGGTTCATCAATTGTAACAAATGTGCCACATTAATACAAGATATAAATAATAGAAACTGTGAGGGGTGGAGGGTAAATGGGAACTCTACTTTCCAATTGATTTTTCTGTGAACCTAAAACTTCTTTAAAAAAATAAAGTCTATTAATTAAAATAAACCACTCTAGAGTAATGAATGTTAGAAAGCATGTGTCTTTCAAAACAAGAACAAACACTTCACAATTAATATTTACCATTCTCCAGCTTGGCTGACGGAATTTAATTCTGTTACATTGTACATTATAGATGGCTCCAGTGAAACTTTCTCCATAAACATAGGTGAGGTTGTAATATTCTGAATCTGGGCTTCAAGAAATACTTCGTCAGTCTGAGGATATGAAAAAAATATCCACCAAAGTGTGATGGTCTTTAAAATACTTAACAAAAATATCTTATCTATATGAAGAAAAAATATTAACCACACATGTGATTAGTTCATGCCTGCAAATCAAAGTTATAATTAATGCAAGAAAAGAAATCTTCATCCTAACATAATTAACAGGGGCAAAGTCAAGTGTTAGTCGACTCATACCTTGTCAAACAATGGATGGGGGATAACTATATTTTGTATTAACATCCAAAAATATTTATTTAACTGGAATTTCATTCACAAATATACTAAATCTTTTAGTAAGGCATTAACATTTAAAATGTTAAAATGTGCTTTAGCATAATACATATACCTATGCATCTTTAATTTCAGTGTTAAGATAATTAGGTCTTCATTATAACATTCCAGCATACTATAACTTCAATTATCATATTACTTCAATTTATATAGTTTAGTGACCACTAGTAAATATGAATAATCTATTTTATAATCTGAAAGGATTCAACTTTTTAAATTAGAGCAAGTTTGTGAGTGGTCATTAGTGACTTCTTGCTCATTTTAAATGTATATTTAAAGCTAACAAAAGATACTGTGTATTATACCTGATAATCTTTGAGCTTTTACATTAAGCAAAGGTATTTTGTAGCCTTAGTGATAGATCTGAAAACTGATGCCATTTTGCAATATTTCAGTGATTGGGTAACTTAAATACTTAATTTTATATAAATTTTTAATTCCCTAATTATGCTAAACTTTCTTATTTTTATGCATTTGGTTATTAGTTTCTTTGTGTAATTGAAGAATAACAGGCTAACCTGGCTTATCTTTGAAACAAACATACATAAAAAATAATATATTAATGGTATTCAAGAATTATTTTTTCAAGTTTCATAATAATATATATATTATGCAGAAATAACAAAGTATAACAAGAAAATTTTGGCACTTACGAGCTTTGTTAATACTAATGCCAGGAAAATAAAAATCATTTGCAAAAATATAATGAGGAAGTTATAATTTAATGTATTATCTAAAATAAAACAGATTCTTTAGTGTTTGCGACACATGCTCATATAATAGAAATACAATGACTTATTATTCAAAAAATATTGTTACTTTTTCTCAAAAAATAATATATCCCATCAATCCATTGCTTTAAAAAAAAACCCCATAGATCCACATTTCAATTTATAAAATGCAATTTTCTGCATAAATTTAAGAAGAGCTTAGATAAAATGAAAGAAAAACAAGCAGCATAATGGAAAATCAAGTTAGTTTGAACAGTTAAAGTAATTTGACATTTAAAAAATTAAGAATTCAGTGCTAAGGCAATTGGTATTGTTACATATATAATGTGATATAAGCAAATGCTGCTAGTGTAAATTTGAAAATAAGATTTTAGCCAATTTGGGAAAATTTCTTCTGAATAATTTTATCAAAAGGCATTGTTACCTGACCCAGACCTAAAGCTAAAACCACTGTGCATCTGAAAATGAATTTCAATTATACAGTCTATTCAAAGAACTGAAGGATAGGATACTAGGGTATTTTACAGTAAGATGCTGAAAATCCCAAGGCTATTTTAAACAAGGTTAATATGCCTCTTTTAAAAATCACCTAAAGAAGAAACACTAAAAATGAGAATTTGTTTCAATATGACAATTTAATTTTTGATATATTTTTCCCCATAGTATAAGACAATAGATATAATATAAAAAGTACATACAAATTATATACATCTTTCTGAAGTCACATGGGTGGTATTCACAACTAACTGGTTTTCCACTATGTTTCGTAAAGAGAGATTAATTACGCAGAGTCCAAAAGTGGTGAGTAAGAAAAGCATATAAAATTTATAATAAAAAATCAAATTACCACAGAACTGAGGTCACTCTAATGGAAAAATAAAAAAGAAAAATTAGAAAAATCAGAGTTAAATGTTAAAGAAAAAGAATAACTTTAAAATAAAATGCATTTCTGCATTTTTTAATTCACTAAACAAGACAGCATTAGTAAACAAGAAAGTAAACAGGAAGCAACATAAAGAAATATGACAAACCATTTTTCTAAAAAAGTAAAACTGCTAAGGTTAAATGACAATGGAATAGAGAAGAACACTATGGTCAAGTACTCAAACAAGAGCAAATTGTTAAGGGCACATTTTGGGGCAGAGAGGTATATCTCACACCTTTCTAGTTCTAGAAATTCTTTACCTACACTATAATTCTTCATAGATGACTTAGGATAGATGTACACTGTCTTCTACATTCAGAATAGATAACCTTCTCCTAAATTTATCTAATGGATCCTTTTTTTAAAGGAGCATTTTGGGTAACTAGAGTCCCATGGATCACACTTCACAGAATACTGGGCTAGACCACGTCAAGCATTTGAGAATTTATTCTCTTCTTCTTAGATTTCCTAGTTAGCCTTTTAAAAATATGTATTTCTAAAGCTACTTGACTTATCAAGGGCAATCTCATCACCTGCTTTATCAAATGGATAGCTGGAAATCATTTTTCGCCTATGTTCCCAGAGTGTAAGTATACTTCAAGATTGGGGGGTGTGTGTGGAAGGGGCTTCTATTATAGTTGTATCATGTCAGTCTCCCTTAGGATGCAAGTTCCTTGAGGATTGGGAAGATGTTCAGTTTATATTTATTTATTTTCAGTACCTGGAATGGGGCTCTGTACCCAGTGGGTGATCAAATATTTAATTCTAACTTTTAATCTCACCTGTCTTCTTGCAAGGCTTTTTTATCTTAGAAGACTACAACAAAGCTTTTCATGAACTTGTTTTCCTTTAGATGATTCATATATTATTAGCATTAATAAAAGCAGCATCAAAAAATTATGTTTAGGACAGATGTGGGCCTAATAATAGTAACTGTACAAGGACTATAACACAGAATAATAAGCAACACCTACTGATATTGATGTGGTTACTAAACTACAATCTACCTGAAATTCCTAGTTGGGTTTAAGAGAATCTGCCTCATGCTACCAGCTGAACAGTATTTGTTTGCCCAATAGGTAATATGAAGTATCTTAGAAACACTAAATGCTTTTTGTTCACTCCTGGTTTTTAAAGAGATATCTATTTTCAAAAGTTCAGAATTTACCTAAAATTTTTTGTCTGTTGGCAAAGTTTAAAGATTATGTTTACGTATAATGTTAACTGAAAAAGGCAGCAAACAAAATTGTCGTTATGATTATAAAAACAGAATATTATATATAAATGAATAAAGACTGTAAGAGAATATGGATTAATGAAAAACCAATTCCTTGTTGGTGTGGTGGAATTGTGGATTTTTAAAATTTCTTTATGGGGAATATGTCACTTCTATGACATTTATGGAATATCTAGCAATTTAAAAAACTATTTGCAAATCACTTTGAATATTTGTGTTATAAAACGACTTCACAAATATCTTAATGTACTACCACATTTTTAACAAAGAAAACCTAAAATAGCTTAATTGGTGCCTAAAGACAATTATAAAAGCAAAATGCACCTATAGTCCTATTTGTTTTTAATTTTCTAATATATTTATTCTAATGGAATAGTTAACATTTTCCTCTCATACTATAAATGAAAACTATTTTCTAGCAAAATGGTAAATTAGACTATTTAAAATTCACAAAGCTCAATAGCTATAATTAATCAACAGTATGCCATAAATTATAAAAGAAGGGGGAATAAATATGTAGTATCCCAACTCACCTATCCCCCAAAAAGAATCATTAACTCTTTAAACATGTAGTAATTTCCTTGATGAGGCTGTACCCTCCCTCAAATATGTATGCTCTTCACTATGTACTTAACACTCCACGTTAAGTACATACACACCCTGCTTGCAATGCCGTCACTGCTCTGACATACATTCCTTCCAGATTCTACTCCTGTTCGCCTTCTCTTCCATAAAGCTTCTTTGAACTATGCTAAGATCTTGTCCCCAGAGCTCCTGCAGCACATCTTTTTATATTATTCTTGTTTCAGATTCAATATATACGATTCTGGGTAGTTTTGTTATATGCACTTTTTCCTTTCTTCTAATAGATCTTTATTGCAGGTCAGGTTCCTTAACTTTGACAAATCTTAGAAATCCTAGTTGTAATACAAACTTTTTATTGAGTAAAAATATGTATCAGATTTGCCACCTGACTGCAATTTTCTGATCATCATCAGGTTTTAGAATGATAGAGATATGATGCTCATTTCAAAATACTGCATGTAGATATCTTTGAATTAATCACTGAGGTAGGAAACACAATTTTGGGGGGAGTCAGAAGGCCATCAGGAGATCTGATTTTTCTGCAGCTCTAGAAGCCAAGATAAAACAGAAGTTTGGAAAGGAAATCCAAGCAATAAATCCTTTCTCCTATGGCAAGTTCTATTTTATTTCTTTTGTTAGGATAGAAGATAGATCATCTTGTATTCTAAAAGTTACTTCTTTCTCCCAAGGAGCTTCTCAAGCCATTTTACCAAACTCAGCAACCTAACTCTGGCTGGCATACTGACTTCCCAGGTAATAGTTTAATGTGCTGTGTTTTTCCTCTCAATATTTTTCCATGTGAATATTAAACCTATTTTGAGGAGTTAGATCTACTAATTCAACTTTTGGAATATCCAGAACGACGCTGTGAACATTCAACAAATTGCTAGTGTTAAACAGTAACAACCACCATTAAATGGAATTACAGGGCAATCATTTAAAGAAAAGGGATGAAAACCTTACAAAATTAACAATGAGAATAAAAGTCAAGACATATTGATTCCACGTAGGTCAAAAAAGGCAGAGTAAAAGGACCCACAATGAAATGATTCACTTTTAATTTAATTTTATGCCCATTTTTTCCACAGATAATTCACAGTCATAGCAGCAATTTACTTCAACATCATAAGGAATGGAATACATCAGATTTTTAGTCAAATAAGATTTTAATGTTTAATTTGAAATCCCATTAAGTGCCCAAAACTTACCTCTGCATTGTAAAATTTGGTTTTCACATCCAGCGGTTTGAGAACCTGGTTAAATAAAACATATCAATCAGGAGATTCTTACCATGTGACCATTTTTAAAAAATTTGTTTTAAATCACAAGGCTTGAATTTGTCAAAGCCATTTTCCAATTTTAATTCTTAAAAGACTTTTCTAATGAGTATGAGATAGTCTTGCCAAAAAAAGTCCCAAATGCATTTTTTGAAAGGCTGCTATCATTTCTTGACTGGGTGATAGTTACGTGGGTATTTATTCCATAACATTTGATTAAACTGAACACATATATCTTGTGTATTTTTCTATTTGTGTATTACAGAAAAACTGTGCAAAAAAAAGCAATTGAACCTTTTTTCCCCAAAAGGCATGCAAATGAGTGATATAGCAAAACAATGGCAAAATTTTTTTTTCCCTATCAATAGTACTTTTTCTTCCACTTACAGAGGAATGAAAACTATACATACAGCATATTTAGATGTATATTTATATAGATATATGTGGCATTCTTCTCTCCCCACCCATACACAAACGTGTTAAACCATTCGTTTTTAACTATTTTTTTTTTTTTTTGAGACAGAGTCTCACTCCCTCTGTTGCCCGGGCTAGAGTGCCGTGGCGTCAGCCTAGCTCACAGCAACCTCAAACTCCTGGGCTCAAGCGATCCTCCTGCCTCAGCCTCCCGAGTAGCTGGGATGACAGGCACGCACCACCATGCCCGGCTAATTTTTTCTATGTATTTTTAGTTGTCCAGATAATTTCTTTGTATTTTTAGTAGAGACGGGGTCTCGCTCTCGCTCAGGCTGGTCTCGAACTCCTGAGCTCAAACGATCCGCCCGCCTCGGCCTCCCAGAGTGCTAGGATTACAGACGTGAGCCACAACGCCTGGCCCATTTTTAACTATTTTTGATGAACTTTGAAAATTGTATATTAATAGAAGATTCTACCTAAAGTTCCAGTGATTTATGGAGTCCTTAAGGGAAGGTCCACTCACTCCAAGTCAATAATCTCTCATTTAAATTTCTTTAGAAATCTGATACTATTTACACTCGCTTTATCAGACTTAACCCTTGTCTAGATTCTTGTGTTTTGTCAAATCATAAAAATAAGCTTTTTTGGGGGATAAAAACCTTCAAGTTTCATTACCAAAACAATACATTGGCAATGACAATCTCTCTGCTTTTATTTAACTTGATTCAGTCTGACTTTAGATTACTAGTCAGATGACAAATCCAAAAATTTTGGAGCTTGTTTTCCCTGCAGATAAACAGGAGTAACTGCATACATCCAGGGGAAAAAAGGCATATGAAAACTATTTCCCATCGTCATATATTAAATACCTGAAATTTGAAGAATTTTCTAAAATACATTTTTTCTCCACCCTGAGTTGTATAACTGACGGCACACACCAAGCTGAAACAGAAAGACGTCTTAATGATTCTGAATCATTTTCAATTTTATTTCTTAATAATAAATCTAATGCACCTGAATTCTAACACATTTGGAAAACATTTATATCAATGATGTTGAAGTGTGGCCAAATGAAATTAGAGCAGAAAAAAAAAAATGTTCCAGCAGATATGGATGTAACTATATAAATAAGAAAGCTCTGCTTAGTAAAATGAGATGTAGCACTTTTGATTTAGGAAGTTGGAAACTTTTTCTCTGAAAAGTGAAATATATTCTGAAAATGTAAAAAATAAGTTCATATAAAGTAGAAAAAAACATGAATTTTTTATAAATTCCAGAACAGACTTAACATAAATGCAATGGAAATGACTGTTATATAAAAATTTTAAATTACATATCTCAAAAAAACTAAAACAATTAAAAAGAAGACCACAAACTAGGATGAAATACTTGTAACAATATGAGAAAAGATTAGATGGTAAGATACACAAGGTTCTTGTAAGTCAATAAACATCAACATCCCACTCAAAATATAAGGAAAGGAATATATAGATAAATCACAGTACCATAACTGGCCAACAAAAATGTGAAATGTTCAGTCTCATAAGTAGTCAAATTAAAATAAATAGAAGATTTTTCCATCTATCAAGATTTGGCAAACTGTTAGAACTGATCAATATAGTAAAGTTGCATGATATAAAATCAACATACAAAAATCAGTAGCATTTCTATACACCAACAGCAAACAATCAGGAAAAGAAATTAAGTAGGCAATTTGGTGGCCAGGCGTGGTGGCTCACACCTGTAATCCTAGTACTCTGTAAAGCCAAGGTGGGCGGATTATTCAAGGTCAGGAGTTCTAGACTAGCCTGAGCAAGAGCCAGACCCTGTCTCAACTAAAAATAGAAAAATTAGCCGGGCACCTTAGTGCACTCCTGTAGACCCAGCTACTCGGGAGGCTGAGGTAAGAGGATCAGTTGAGCCCAGGAGTTTGAGGTTGCTGTGAGCTAAGTTGATGCCATGGCACTGTAGCCCATAAACTCTGTCTCAAAACAAACAAAAACAAAAAAACTTCCTGGGCTCAAGTTATCCTCCCACCTCAGCCTCCCAAATAGCTAGGACTCACAGGCATGTGCCACCACACCCAGATAATTATTTTTATTTTTGTAGAGATGGGGTCTCACTATGTTGGCCATGCTAGTCTTGAACTCCAGGCCTCAAGTGATCCACCTGCCACAGCCTCCCAAAGTGCGGGGATTACAGGCATGAGCTACCACACCAGGCCAGATTTGAATTTTATGTCTTCTTAACTAGTTGTTTAATTATACAAGTCTCATTTTCTGTAAAATAGGGATTTTACACATTTATTATCATTTCAATAAATTCAATTTCAACAAATACTGACCTCTCTGCTCAATCTTGGAGAAACAGCAGACTTCATGGACCTTATACTTTAATGAGGAAGGCAGGCAGGCACTCAATAAATAATTTTAAGTATAAAAGACATTTTAAAAATGGCAAGTTGTAGATGCTACAGGATATCCACGAAGGGGGATTTAATCTAGTCTAGGAGGTTAGGAAAACCTCTTTGAGGAAGTCATGCTGAACGTGAGATAAGGAATAGAAGTGTTAGTAAACTAAACAAAATGCCATAGGCATTCCTTTGTAAAGGAAGAACACATTTCAAGCCACAGAGTTTGGAGGTAAAAGAAGTCCAATATGACTGCAGTATAGACAGGGAGGGAAGGGTGTCAAAGGTGAGAATTACAGTGGTTGGTAAGGATTTGGCTGTGGATAGCTTTGTAAAACATATACAAAGTGAGAATTTCCTATGGGTAATCAGACTTACACAAGATCACATAATTAATAAATCATGAAGCTGAAATTTGAACTCCAGGAAATCTGACTCCAAAGCTCATACCAATCACAGAATATATATTAACAAGTGCCTACCACAGAGATTGTGACTGAAATTAACTGATTAAATAATAGCTAATATTATATACTCTAATGGGCACAAAGAAGGGATGCAAAAATGGTGATGAAAGTGGAGATGAAGAAGAAAGAAGTAAGAGGTATTTAGCAGAACTAATAGGATTCTGTGAATTGACTGGATGGGGGTGCTAAAGGAAATGAAGCCTAGAATTACTTCAGATGGCTAAAATTTCCATATTTGCCCCTCAGACTGAAAGAAAACTGAAGCACTCACATATGTAGGCCAGGAATACAGAATTTAAGATTTTTTTTTTCACTGTCTTACTTTGGTTCTGTATTTCTGAGTTCTTAGGGTATACTATATTTACTCAGTTAAATACAAAACTGGAAAACTGAATTTAAAAATAAATACTATGAACAGTAGTTGCTAACATTTCAAAATATGATAAATGTATTTTTACTTTGCTACCTCGGTTTTAAACATCCGTATGGTTTATCATGTTTTAGAGAAGACTGTACGTGCAAAAATGGAACTAGAGATAAATGATGATAAATTAGTTTTTCTTCCTACAAAATAGACATCTTTAGTTTAAAGTTTGTTTCTGGAAAGCATGTAAAGATGAAACATAACATTTCTTCTGAAGTAGGTTACTAGGCATTATGTTAAGTGAAAAGAGAGCAAAAATTTTAAATAAAGGAATATATAAATAAAAGCCTTTCAGAGCTAGTAAAATTAATCCTTACATGTGTGTTCCAATTTCCTTCACTTCATGGTGTATGACATCATCAATACAACAATCAGGTTTAAGTTCAGCTACTGCAGCATTGGAGGCTGAAAGATTTAAACGCTGAGAACTTGTCTGAAGATCAGCCTTGAAAGAAAGAGGTAAACAAAAAATCCAAATGAGATTCATTACCTGCAGGGTGGGTGTGGATCCATACAGGTGGAAAGAATAGGAGAATAGGGACAAGGAAGGAGGGATGAAGGGGGAGCAACACTTCTCTGTGTGAATCTTTCTTTATAGCTCTCAGGCTTAAAACCATGGCAATGGAATACACACACACACACACACTCACACACACACACACACACACACACACACACACACACCCCAAAAATAAAGAATAAAATCAAGGAGGAAGTAGGGAGAATCCAAAATGGAGTACAAACAGTAACAAATGAACCTAACCATATTGCAAATGAAGAATAGAACTACGCTTAGGGGGAGGGAAGGCGGAAAAAAAGAACTAACCTAAGTAAGTTTGGAAAACAAAACCTTGACTGTAGTCTAAAGGCTAAAGACAAAAAGAATGGTACACGAATGTACCCTGGCTAGTACATATGTTTTTTTCACAGGGGTATGGGGTAGCAATCCTGAAACTATTTTATGTGTACACTAGGAGTAAACAAAACAATGAATATGTTATCTAACAAGAAAAAAAGGTACAAATAAGGAAAGGTGGAAGGCTGCAATGAAGCCTTTGGTGTTGAACTGGAAGACGAGGCATGAGTGTGGACATACAGTTTGTAAACATATATACAGATGGACTTCACCAAAACAAATATAGATAGATGTGTACGCATGTGCTAGTATAAAGCACTAAAAGATAATCATTCAAAACAATAAAGTTAGATGTTAGAGACCAATTGATTTATATAAGAACTAGAGAACACTGAAGTTACCAACTAAGAAATTACTATCTTCTCTAAAGTAGCACTTTTGCCCCATCCAGTTACTATATTCCCCTCTTTATTTCCTTTTGAACATTTATCACTCTACTTGTCGACAATAGCACCCTCCCTTATCTCAGTTACTTTACATTACATTCAACTTTTACTTCCTTTGTAACATTTATCACAATCTATAATTACCTTATTTATGATTTTGTTTACCTGTTTGTTTCTGTCTCCCCTACTAGAAATGTCTATGGAGCCAGGAACCTCTTGTCTTCTCTTGCTCACCACTATAGCACGGTGCCTGGCACATAGTAGGCAATTAATAAATATTTGTTGAACACTGAATGAATGAAGTTATGATAAAACTTCAAGGCAAATGTCAAGAAAAAGGAAAGATCACATTAGGTCATGGGGATTAATAGAGGTTTTTACATAAGAGCTAGGATTCCTTTTTTTAAGTTTTTGTTTCTTTTAAAAAACAGTTCTGCAGTTAATTCTAATCTAACATTCTTAATGCTAGTCACTTAAACTAGGATATTTATTAGTGCTGTCTCTTTTGTTACTATATTCAGTTACAAAATAATAGTAGCTCACATTTATTGGGTACCTACTATGTGTAAGGCCCTGTTTTAAGCACATTACTCTTTTAATGCCCATAATCCTGAAGTAGGTAGTAGTATTACCCCTATTTTCCAGACAGTGAAACCAACACAGAAAAGTAACAACTTCTGAAAGGTTATACAACTAATAAGTAATGAAGCTGAGATTCAAAGTTTGTTAAACATTTTTGAAATTAGACAACAGGGGGGGAAAAAAGAAATACTAGTTTTCTGTAGAATATGTTTTCCCATGTGTCTTATGTGTCATTTTAATCATAACTGCAGTTTTTGGTATGAGTAGGATTTGAATAGGGAGAGAGGAAAGGGGACAGGAGGAATCATTCCAAATAAGTTGAACAAAGCCAGCAAAACACATGTGTAAAAGCTCAAGATGTCTTCAAAGGCCATCAAGAATGATAGCTTAAGGGCCAGGCACCATGGCTCACACCTGTAATACCAGCACTTTGGGAGGCTGAGGTGGAAGAATCACTTGAGCCCATGAGTCCAAGACCAGCCTAGGCAACATGGTGAGATCCCGTGTCTACAGAAAGTAAAAATATTAGCTGGGCATGCCTATAGTCCCAGCTACACGGGAGGCTGAGGCAGGAAGACTGCTTGAGCCCAGGCATTCAAGATTACAGTGAACTATGATTGTGCCACTCCACTCCAGACTGGTGACACAGTAAAGACCCTGTCTCTAAAAAAAAAAAAAAGAAAAGGAAAAAAAGTTAAGGAATTCAAGGGATTCATGTTTACAAACAGGGAAAACATAAACAGGGAAAACATACCTAAAAACATCAAGAATAAGCTTCAAGAGAACAAAGCATTGTCTATTTTGTTTCCTGCTATAACGCTAGTATCTAGAATCATGTCTGGCATATATATTTGTTGAATGAATGCGTGAATGACTAGTTTAGACCAGTGGTTCTGCAAGTATGGTTCCCAGGTCAATAGAATCAGTATTACCTGGGAACATGTTAGAAATATAAGTTCTTGGACACCATTCTAGATCAAATGAAGCAGAAACTCTGGGGATAGGGCCCAGAAATCATTGTTTTAACAAGCCTTCCAGATGATTTTGATGCCTTCTAAAGTTTAAGAACCATTGGTATAGACCATAAAAGTTATTTAGTATTTTTATTTATAGTACAGCAATTATATTGCTTTTTGTTTATAGAACACTTTTTTTTTTTTTTTGAGACAGAGTCTTACTCTGCCTGGGCTAGAGTGCCGTGGCGTCAGCCTCACTCACAGCAACCTCAGACTCCTGGGCTCAAGCGATCCTACTGCCTCAGCCTCCCAAGTAGCTGGGACTACAGACATGCACCACCATGCCCAGCTAATTTTTTTAATATATATATATATTTTTAGTTGTCCAGCTGATTTCTTTCTATTTTTTTTAGTAGAGACGGGGTCTCACTCTTGCTCAGGCTGGTCTCGAACTCCTGAGCTCAAACAATCCACCCGCCTCGGTCTCCCAGAGTGCTAGGATTACAGGCATGAGCCACCACGCCTGGCCTAGAACACTTTCTTTTTGGTAGCATGCTAAGGTTTTCAGACTTATTGCTGAGATTTTTTTTTTAAATTAAAAAACAAAACAAAAACCTTGTGGTTTCCAGTTAAACATGGTAGATTATATAAACTTTTGTATTCTCAAAGACAATATTAAGATGACAGCAGTGAAGGAATAAAAAAAAAAGCTCAAACCAACAATATTTTTTCCAAAATTCAAAGAACTATAAAAAAATAAAGTTTTGAGGGCATAATTCTGGGTAGCTGAAGTATAATGTGAATCTCCCAGGATATCCTCAGAAAAATAAAAATAGAACAAATGCAACTATATAAAACCTCACATTAATATAAGGCAGCAAATGTCCAAACTTAAAATTATAGATGAGCAGACAAATACCAGATTCATGCTCTTGTCATATTTCTTGTAAAGAAATTCAGAAAAAAAGGAGCTGAAATGAGAAGAGGTGAGTAGTGCCAGACCTAAGAATGATCTAAGCCATTGACGGAAAGACAAAGTCCATCCCAACTGTGAAAATACTTAGAAAGTCTATTACTAGAAGTTGAAAGCACGATATACAAGAAAGGGACTTAACAGTATGTTTGATTGTGAAGTGGCAATCTTGTAAAGATAATACAATAGGGGAAAGAGAAGAGAGATTTTTAAAGAGAGACCCCTTATTGAAACTGTATAATAATGAAGAAAAGGAAGAGGGAAAAATTTAGGATGCTACAATTCATAAGAAAAGAGAAAAACTGAAGATCATATACCTTTTCTTCCTCCATCCAAAAACCCATCCAGTAAAAAAACCCACACTTTGTTCACACTGCCAAAGTTGCATTTCACAGAATGCAAACCCACCAACAATCATTTATATAAAAATACTATACGAGAAAACTATAAAATACTATAAAACTCAGAAGAGAACTAGAAGAAAAAGATGAAAATCTTATCAGAAATGAAGACTCAATTACAAAGCACACAAGGAAAAATAGATTTGAATCAAAATTTACTAAGGGGCACTAAGGGAAAGCAGGCAAAGTAGATCCAATTTACATGTAATTGGAGTTTGCAAAATGATAAACAAAATAATGGAATAGAACTATAATATTAAAAGTAAAACCCATGAAAACTTTCTGGGAAACAAAAGATCTAAATCTACCTATTGAAAGGGGCTTTGGTATCCCAGAAATCACACCCAAAGACCAACTCTGACACATACAGAAAAAATCCTCTGGGCCTCCAAGAAAAACTATCAAAAAATTTACAAGGCAAGGGAATTAGACTGGCATTAATCCTCTCAAAAACAACATAAATAGCTAAGCAACAAAGGAGCAGCATTTTCAAAAAACATAAGAAAAGAAAATGTAAATCAAAGATTTTAAATCTAGCCAAATTGTCCTTCAAGTATAGAAAAGCTTTTGAACAGGACTCAGAGAATATTGTACCCACAAGCTCTTCCTCAGCAAGACACAAATAAAAAATGGAAAAACACGGGAAAGGGAAAAAGGAACGTAGTGTAAGCAACAGGTGAGAGTTAAAGGCCATTTTTATATTAAAAACTAAAAACCTCATACTAAGAGGCTAAGTAAGAAAACAGGGAACTGGGGAGGCAGGCGCTGGGCATTTTGAAAGGCATAAAGACAAAGGTAAAAACTAGAAAAACAATACAAACCTTCCTAAATACCAAAAGACATTTTATTAATCATGAAAATGTAGAGATTTAAAAAAAAAACCCAGCAAATATAGGATAATATACTTATCGTTTATAATATAAAATAATGTAACACTTGAAATCAAGCATATCAAACTTATCAATATATATGAATGGCCTTAATTTATCCATTTAAAACAATTCAGTTTGACTCACAAAGCAAGATCCAACTATTGTTGGATACAAGAGACATAAATAAAGACAAAATGATTCACAAAGGCGAAAAATAAAGAGATGGGCAAAAGGCATACCAAACAAATTGAAACAGCAAAAAAGCAACGGTAGTGACACAGATATCACAAGTGAGATTCAAGCCAGAAAGCATGAAACACGGCAAACGAAAATATTCTGGGCATGCCTATAGTCCCAGCTACATGGGAGGGCCAAACAGCATAGCCTTTCTAAAGCAAAATTTATGAGATTTTAGAAGATATAAATAGAAATACACCAATAATATAAGATAAACATGCCACTCAGTATGACAGAAAAAAGAGCAAAGATATAGAAGACCTACGTAATATAATCAATAGGGTAGATTTTATGGACATACATATCTAGCTTTACAATGAATAATAAAGTGTACAAATTCTTATTAAGGACACATGGAAAATTCATACAAAATCAATATTAGGTCATAAAGAAATCATCAGTAAGTTCCATAAATATAAATATTACAAGAAAACTGTCTCATTACAAGGTACTAAAACTAGAAATTATTAACAAGAATTAAAGTAGAAAAAAAAATAGGCCTTTTTCTCTGAAAAACCCTTCCATAAAACAACTCTTGGGTAGAAGGTGAAACACAAATGAAATTATAAAATTCTTTAAAAAGTAATTATAATAAAAATACTATCTATCTGAATCTGTGGGACATAACTAAAACAGTAAATCAGAGGAAAATTAATTTATAGCCCTAAGCAAAAAATGAATAAAAATAAATGAATAAAATCCTCAGCTATAAAAGGCAGAAAAAGAACAAAGTAAATAAACAGAAGCACAAGAAAATAAAGTTAAATGCAAAAGTTAATGAAGTAGAGAATAGAAAAATATTAGATATGTCGTCTTTTAAATCTTGGGGTCTTTTAAAGTTAAAATACACAAACCAAGACCTTAGCTAACTTAATCAAGAAAAAAAGGAAGCAAAAATAATAAATGACCAGGGGAAAATAACATTGAAATAGAAGAAATTTTTATGAGACTACTTTGCAGACTTCTGCAAAGTAAATTAGAAAATCTACATGAAACGTATCATTTCCCAGGGAAAAAAAGCTTAATAATCATTAGCTATCATTAGTGATATATCACTTAAACAGACACCAATCGATAGGAAGAAAAAGAAAATGTTACGCAGAAAACCTCTCCCCCATCCCCCACAAAAAAAGCACAAGCCCATGTGATTTTGCAGGGAATTCTAGAAACCCTTCTAGAGTAGACAGCCTAAGTGATCCACATATTGTTCCAAAGCATGAAAAATGAAGGAAAATTTCCTAAATCTTTTACTTAGCAACCATAATATTGACACCTAAAACCTGATAAAAAGACAACATAAAAAAGAAAAATACAGGCCAATAATATGCTGTGCTTCCTACAGCCTCCCAAGTCATTCTGATGTCGAAAATGGCTTACGTGTGTATCATGTGTCTGAATGTCTAGTTGAGCCTAAGAAGATCCCTGGTGGGCATCACACTGCTCAATAAACAACTATTGTTATTGTTCTAAATACCATTGCCTTTACAGAAATTAAAACTGAATAGCCAATGGAAATATAAATTCATGTTTTAGAACTTGTATGCTACTATATTATTTGATCTTTATAATATTGACTTATCTTAAATTATATGCCCTTGCTGATTTATTAATCTCTCTTATAAAAATAATATTTACTAAATGCCAACCATATGCCAAGAAAAAAAGTATGTTCTCAAAATTTTGAAAATCAGACTTTTCATATTGAAATGCAGAAGTTGGCAAATGTTTTCTTTAAGAGATCATATGACAAATATTTTAGATCTTGCAGCCCATACAATCTCTCTTGCAAACACACAACTCTGCTGTGGTAGCTGGAAATCAGCCACAAATAATAAGTAAACAAATGAGTATGGCTGTGTGTCAATAAAACTTTATTTATGGACACTGAAATTTGAATTTCATATAATTTTTATGTCACGAAATAGTCTTTTGTTTCTTTTCAATAATTTGAAAATGTATAATAAAAGCCATTCTTAGTTCAAAAGCCTTATAAAAATAGCCAATGGAACAAATTTGGCCTGTAGGCTGTAGTTTGCCAGCCCCTCATCTAACGAAAAGCAGAGACCTCCATCCATACATGACAATCATATGTGTAAGTATGCAAAAATTTGCATTCAGTTTCTGGAAGCTGGGTCATGTATGAAATTTGGAATATATGCTCTCCCAGGTCCTTCTGAATTCTAAAACTCTACAATCATCTTCAAACTCATTCTAATTAGACTTCCCTTTTGGCAATGCTCCAATATTCTAAACTCACCACTCAAAGACAGCTTTAACAAGAACTTCTCTCCCACATACGGTGAATTTTTCTTTATGTACTTTTTCTCTTTTTTTTTTTTTTAATTTTTTTAATTTTTTTATTTTTAAGACAGAGTCTCGCTTTGTTGCCCAGGCTAGAGTGAATGCTGTGGCGTCAGCCTAGCTCACAGCAACCTCAAATTTCTAGGCTCAAGCAATCCTTCTGCCTCAGCCTCCTGAGTAGCTGGGACTACAGGCATGCACCACCATGCCCGGCTAATTTTTTTTTTCATATACATATATATTTTTTAGTTGTCCAGCTAATTTCTTTCTATTTTTTAGTAGAGACGGGGTCTCGCTCTTGCTCAGGCTGGTCTCGAACTCCTGAGCTCAAACGATCCGCCTGCCTCAGCCTCCCAGAGTGCTAGGATTACAGCCGTGAGCCACTGCGCCTGGCCCCTTTTTCTTTTTAAGAAATTTCAGGTTGTTAATTGAGCTAGCATATTCTATCTCTTGATTTCTAAATTACTTAAAGAGTCTTCTAAATGGCCTGTTTCCTACAAACCATCCCATACAATACGCTCATATCAATCTTCCTAACCCAAAGTGTGACTATCACTGCTTGAAAGCCTCCTCTAACTGCCCACTGTTTTTTAAAGAAATTTTTTTGCTACTATGTTCTAAAAATTTTTTTAAAAAAGGCTTTTGAGATGCCTCATTGTATGGCTACTACACATTTCTATCATCTTACCTACTCTTATCAAATAAATTCTGTTCACTGCTACAAGAGCATATATGTATCCCTACATCTCTGCCTTTGATGGTAATTACCATGTACCTCTTGCCTTTTTCTCTATATCTTATCAATCTTTCAAGATCCTCTTGTGTTACCTCTCCTTCAATAAACGTTCCTGATTGATATCATCCCCAATGATCTTTCCTCCTCTTTCAAATATTATTATGTTAATCACATATATTAACAAAAACTTACGCTGTTATTTACCTTTGACTAGTATATTTTCTCATTCAAGCCATCACAAACCTTGATGAAAAGGAAAAACTGGCCGGGCATGGTAGCTCATGCCTGTAATCCTGGCACTCTGGGAGGCCGAGACCAGAGGATCATTTGAGCTCAGGAGTTGGAGACCAGCCTGAACAAGACCAAGACTCTGTCTCTACTAAAAATAGAAAAATTAGTGGGGGCAGTGGCCCGCACCTCTAATCCCAGCTACTCAGGAGGCTGAGGCAGGAGGATTGCTTGAGTCAAGAAGTCTGAGGTTGCACTGAGCTATGACGATGCCACTGCACTCCAGCCTGGGTGACAGAGCGAGACTCTGTCTCAAAAAAACAAAAAAAAACAAAACAAAACCAAAAAGAAAAGAAAAAGAAAAATGTTTCTGTGTCTAGTATTTTTTGCAGCTTTAGGCATTCATTAATATTTGTTAATTAAAAATTCTTGTATCAAACGTGCACTTAATGAAGTACCAAAAACATAATAGAAACAGAAAAACTTTTTAAAATAAAAAATACCCCAAACAAAAATGTTACTTACTTTTACCAATATGTCTTTTACAACTTGATTGCTATCATTATGAACGCTGATATAACTGGAAAAAGTCTCTCCCAAAAATATATTCCTGTGAAATAAAATAAGTTTTTAAGTAGAAATCCATTCAGATTTTATCATAAATATTCTGTTTGAGTGTCACCAAGAATTTTAAATGGAGGAAAGTTTACTAAAAGATAGAGATCAGGTGTAATAATGCTTTAACATTCCTTTGTTCACACTAGGCTGCCCATTCATTACCTAGTAACAATTCAAAATACAAACATCATCTATAAGACATGCTATATCTTGGCCCTCAACTGCTACAAAAAATGCCAGTCCTCCTAGAAATAACAGTCACTAAAATCAGATCCATGGTAAGAGTATTAAGATTTGTATCTGAATAGGTTAGAAAAAGCCAAGTTTCAATTTTGAAATAACTTATGCCCTGAACCAAGAAGAGACCCAAGTTATTGATCTTGGAGTATTTTTTATCTATCTATCCATCTAACTATCTATCTATCTATCTTTATATATATATATATATTGTTGAGACAGAATCTTGCTCTGTCACCCTGGGTAGAGTGCAGTGGCATCATCATAGCTCACTGCAACCTCCAACTCCCAGGCTCAAGCAATCCTCCTGTGTCAGCCTCCCAAGTAGCTGGAACTACAGTCTTGTGCCATGATGCCTGGCTAGTTTTTCTAATTTTAGTAGAGATGAGGTCTCACTCCTGCTCAGGCTGGTCTCCAACTCCTGAGCTCAAGCAATCCTCCCCGCTTAGCTTCCCAAAATGCTAGGGTTATAGGCATGAGCCACCACATCCAGACTATCAATTTATTTTATTTTCTAAATTACTCTAATAAAAATGACCAATGGCTTTATTTTATATAGTTTTATATTTTTTATATAAATTTATTTCCAGGATACTAGTCAATGTCTTTACATTCTGTAAACCTTTTTAAAAAAAACCTGAAAAATTCCTTTTGTCTCAAATTCTCTCAGTTGCAAACAAAGACTGGATTGCAAGTTTGAGAATGGAACCAGTGGCTTCTACCTTATTAATAATCTAGAATAAAAGAATGTCTAAGAACAAGAGAATAAATTAAAAAATTTAGAGCTCCTGATTAGCTCCTAAGTCTGATAACTCATGTTGGGAGAGGGCTATAAGGCTGAATAAAAAAGCTGCTTCTGAAAAAGACTTTTAGATTAAATTAGTGAAAAGGAATACATGGCCATTAAAAATATACTAAGATCTAAAGAAGAAAGTTAAAATCCTACCATCATAGGAACCACTATTAACATTTTATTTTGGTATGTATATTTTTTTAATAAAAAAAGGCAAAATCACATAGTATAATTTTTTAACTTTTTGCCACTCAAATGAATCATGAGCATTTTCCCATTCCATAATTATTTTTTGAAAACATGATTCATAATGGCTTTAATGTACTGTTGCATTTCTTATGTGAATATATCATTCTTACCCAAAATTTTGTGGTAAAGTCAACATTTCTCCTAACATTAAAATTTCTGCACCATTTACAGTTGAAGGATCATCTCTCATCAGTTGGTTAAAGAGATCTCCTGCAGCAAAAGAAAAACATAAAATTCTAACATCTACCTTTTAAATAAATTTTACTTACATAAAACAATAGCTGGGGGAGATATTTTAAAAAATAACATCTTGACAAAAATTATACTTAAAAAAATCCAATCTCTAGATTTTAAAACAAGGTATGTCAAAAAATTCTGATCTCACAGAGAATGAACACCGTAAAAACAAAGAAAAATGTAGGTCATGAGATATAAAATATACTATAGAAAATCCCAATATTTCTAAATACAGGGAATGCTAATATATACATTGATGGAACATTTGAGGATAAAGGCAATTTTAAGTGTATCTTCACTTAAACTACAAGTGTTGTGTTGCCATAGGATAGCAACAGGATTTTGACTTGTGGATTTTAAGTAAGGCCTGTTACTCAGATAGTCACCATTTACATGGTACAAAAACAGGTAACAAAGAATCCAGCAAAAGGTTTGCATAGGCTAGGTTTATTCCAAGGTAACATAGGCAACCCACGTTTCAATTTTTCCCCAAGTGCAAATAGAGCAAAGCATATGCCATACCAGGTAAGTCTTTCTCTTCGCACGTTACTGGAATATTGGTGAATAAAGTAGGCTTAGTCAGCCGCATCACTGTGGATTAAGAAAGCAAAAAAACAAAATAAAACATTAATATTGCTTTGGGCTAATAGTCTCAAGTCCAGAATATGGTATCCATCAACTTTATACTAACATAAAATGTAAAGACTTCCTAAACTATTTGATACTTCCTAAGATTATCACACATCGGTGCTTTATTAAAAATGTTAGTATGTAACAAAAAGAATTTTCTGTATGAGAAAAAAGATAATTATGCTTTTATTTACAACCTATGAATTATAAAAGTAATGCAATATAATACACATTCATTATAGAAAAACTGGAAAATAAAAGAATTTTAAAGCTTAAGGAATCTTAGGAGCACAAGGCTTTAAAAAAATTCTGAGTTTTTCCAACATTTTCTTCTAGAATTCTTACAGTTTTATGCCTTAAGTTTAAGTCTGTTATCCACTGTGAGTTGATTTTTGTGAGAGGTGAAAGGTATGGATCCTGTTTCAGTCTTATATTTGACTATCCAATTTTCCCAGTACCATTTATTGAATAAGGATTCTTTTCCCCAGTGTATGTTTTTGTCTGCTTTGTCAAAGATTAGGCTATATGAGGATGGTTTTATATCTGGGTTCTCAGTTCTGTTCCATTGGTCTATGTCTCTGTTCTTGTGCCAGTACCATGCTGTTTTAATTACTATAGCCTTGTAGGATAGCTTGAAGTCTGGTAAATTGATGCCTCCCAGTTTGTTCTTTTTGCTTAAGATTGCTTTTACTATACGGGGTCTTCTCTGGTTCCATATGAAGTGTAGAATCATTTTTTCTAGATCTGTGAAAAATGATGTTGGTATTTTAATAGGGATTGCATTGAATCTGTAGATCACTTTGGGTAGTATAGGCATTTTAACAATGTTGATTCTGCTGACCTGTAAACATGGTATGGTTTTCCACCTGTTTATGTTCTCTGCTGTTTTCTTCCTCAGTGCTTCATAATTCTCCCTGTAGAGGTCTTTTACCTCCTAAGTTAAATATATTCCCAAGTATTTTATTTTCTTTGTTGCTATTGTGAAGGGTACTGAGTCTTTGATTTGGTTCTCAATTTGACTGTTGTTGGCATATAGGAATGCTACTGATTTCTGTATATTGATTTTGTAACCTGAGACTTTGCTGAATTTGTTTATCAATTCCAGTAGTCTCATGGCAGAATCTTTAGGGTTTTCTAGATATAAGATCATTATCATCAGCAAGGAGCAATAATTTGACCTCTTCTGATGCCAGTTGGATGCTCTTGATTTCCTTCTCTTGTCTGATTGCTCTGGCTAGGACTTCCAGCACTATGTTGAATAGAAGCGGTGATAGAGGGCAACCTTGTCTGGTTCTAGTTCTAAGTGGGAATGCTTTTAATTTTTCCCCATATTTAGCATAATGTTGGCCTAGGCAAAGAATTTATGAAGAAGACCCCAAATGCCATCATAGCAACAACAAAAATAAATAAATGGGACCTGATCAAATTAAAAAGCTTCTGCACAGCCAAGGAAAGTATCACGAGAGCAAACAGACAACCTACAGAGTGGGAGAAAACATTGTCATGTTACATATCTGATAAAGGGCTGATAACTAGAATCTATATAGAACTCAGGAAAATCAGCAAGAAAAAAATCAAACAACCCTATCAAAAAGTGGGCAAAGGACATGAACAGAAACTTTTCAAAAGAAGATAGACTAATGGCCAACAAACAGGAAAAAATACTCAACATCTCTAATCATCAGGGAAATGCAAATCAAAACCACAATGAGATATCACTTAACTCCAGTGAGAATGGCTTTTATCAAAAAGTCCCAAAACAATAAACGTTGGCATGGATGCGGAGAGATAGGAAGACTCATACACTGTTGGTGGGACTGCAAACTAGTACAACCTCTGTGGAAAGTAATATGTAGATACCTCAAAGAGACACAAGTAGAACTACCATTTGATCCAACAATCCCATTACTGGGCATCTACCCAAAAGAACAAAAGACATTTTATAAAAAAGACATCTGCACTAGAATGTTTATAGCAGCACAATTCACAATTGCAAAGATGTGGAAACACCCAAGTGCCCATCAATACGTGAGTGGATTAATAAAATGTGGTATATGTATACCGTGGAGTTCTACTCAGTCACAAAAAACAATGGTGATAGAGCACCTCTTGTAGTATCCCGGATAGAACTGGAACTCATTCTACTAAGTATCCCAAGAATGGAAAAACAAGCACCACATGTACTCACCATCAAATTGGTATTAATTTGTCAACACTTAAGTGCATATATAGTAATAACATTCATTGGGTGTTGGGGGAGGACGGGATGGGTATATACACACCTAAGGGGTGTGGTATGCACTGCCTGGGGGATGGACAAGATTGAAGCTCTGACTTGGGTGGGGCAAAGGCAATATACATAACCTAAACATTCGTACTCCCATAATATGCTGAAATTAAAAAAAATTTTTAAAAATTCTGAGTGACTTCACTGTAAACAATATGAACAAAATATTAACCAATTTTAGCCTGGTAGGGAAACAAGTTTAAATGCATCATTTTGAATATGAAACAATAATTTTATGCCAAAAGGATCTTTATGAGTTTTATTTCTCAATTATAATCACTGGTCACTGGAAGCTCAATAAGTATCTCTTTAAGTAATGTTAATTCTGTGTAGAAATTATAAAAATATCAATTAATGTATAGGTTTATAGAATTCCAACCAAAATTAAGATTTGTGTTTGCAACATGAGAGAAACTTTGTCTAAATTTTATCTAGAAAAACAAATGAAAATAAGCTAAGGAAATTAATGGGAAAAAATGAGGAAGAACTAGGTGTAATATATATTAAAATATTTTTTAAGTCCATAATCAACTAATTGGCTTATTAATATAAGACCATACAGATACATCAGTTAGTTTCTCTTATTTTAAAAAAAGATGCCACAAAAAAAAATCTGCATAAAGGAAAATTATTGTTCGTTATTAAGACAACTGGTTAGGTATCTGGAAAAAATAAAATTTAACTTATAAATTCATTTTAAATATAAAATAAATTGCATATATTCGAACAGAAAAATTAACGTACAGAAAGCTAGAAAAAGTTAAAGTAAATATCTATTAAATCTAGTCGAGTGAGGACATTCTAATTATTTTTTAACATCCTTTTCAATTATTTCTAAAAATTGTCATGTGATCACATCAAAATAAGTACAAAAGCATAAAATTAAAAAATCATATAAGCTTGAAAATTTTTTAGAAAACGAATCACAGATGGCTATTTATATTCTATTAAAAGTATTCATTCAAATCCAAACCAAAAAACTTTAAAGACTACAGACCTAAATGGTCAATTCATAATATGTGGTGTTTACTAGCATTATAAAAATGTACCACCTATTCACTAATTAGCTATAATGTTCATATCAAATTTAGTGCCTTGCTCATTCTGGTCTCAGCTTAAATGTCACCTTTTTCAGAAAAGAAATAACAGGTCACCCTGTTTCTTTCATAGAACCTTATATCTATCATGAACTGTATTTATTTACTGCTCATAGCACGCCTTTCCAAACTCCATGAGGTCTGGACTCTTATGTACCACGTTCAGTTTCTTACATAGTATATTCTGGTATATAGGTGCTGGTACATAGTATATTCTACAGATCTTTGCTGAACGCAAGAATTAGCACTTCCCTAAGTCCTCAACTAACTGGCATTATTTTGAACATGTAAGTTTCAGGAACTGAGGTCACTAACCAACTTGTTACATTAAGTAGCTGGCTTTGCAAACGGTTAACAAATGCTAACCTTAAAATTTCTTCAGTCACTTTGTACAGCCAGTATTTACTGAGTGTTTACTCTTGCCAGGCATTATGCTAAACACTTTACAAGTATTAACATATTTAATTCTCGTGACTACTCTACAAGATTGGTATTATTATCCGAATTATACAGATAGGCACTGACATTGCCTGGAGGGGGTAATTTGCATACAAAGCAGATAAGTGGCAGAACCTAGATTTGAGTCTATTATTTGTTAAAAAATAATTCTCTGCAATAATTAACATATAATTATTAATATACTAGTTATATGCTCAGGGTCATAAACTTGGAATGTCAGGCCTTGTCAGAAACATCCCATAGGAATTCAAAGTAGGACTCTACTCTAGTAAACAGAGTACTAACCAGATACAGATAAATGATATAGGGGCGAAGTGGTTGGACAGGTGTTTCCAACCTTCACTCTTATTTTTACCTAGGAAAACAGATTAAAATTACTAAGTAGAACCTGAAGGAGATAAAAAGGCGTCCTGAAAGTGATATATAGGAGGTAGTTTCTGTCAATTCAAATATCTAAGACTCTAAGCTCACTTTTATTAATAATATCAATTGATGTTTTCTACTTCTTCCCCATTATTTTTTTAACTTCAGAAACAACCAATCTGAACCAAAAAAAGAGAGGAAGTACACTCTCAAGGAAAGCCTGAAATACTTTTTAAAAAAGTGTTCTTGGGTTCACTCAAACGTGTAGCCAAACTATTTGTTTATTATAGGCTCAAACTTCCATTAGGTATAAAGTCCTGTAAAGCTTAGTTTTTCTCAATTCCTATGGTTTAGCAGGGGATGAGATGGTGGGAGATGGGTAAGGAACAACTCTCCATTAAAAAGATCCCAAATTGGCATTAAAAGCACTTATTCTCTTCATATTTTCAAAAATGGGTAAAAATCAATGGACGGGGAAGCAGTTGGTAGGAAATGCTATCATCTTGTGAACTCAAAAGAAAATTACTATAAAACAGATCCTTAACCACAAAATGAGAAAGCCATTAGTGACACACAACTATCTCATTCTTTGCACTTTTTTTTTTTTT